AAACTTAGGGAAGAAGTTGATGATCATGTTTCGAATGGAGAGGTGGGTTTTGATCTGTTTGGAAAGAGGGTTACGGTTGTGGGAGTTGAGAGAGGGACTGAGGTGATGAAGAAAGGTTTTGGAGAGAAGGGAAAGGTAGAAGTTGATCAGGGCGAGAGGGATTTCAGTGGATTAGGGCTGAGTTTAGACTTGGGAAGTTTTGGGGCCAATTGTATTAAAGAAGAGGTGAAGAAAAAAAGGAAGTTGGAGATCGATATTAATTTTCCGGCTTTAGAATGGGAAGGGGAAGATGGAAGAAGTAAAGGGTTTTTGAGTTTGCGGTCAGGGAAGAAAGTCTCGAAGAGAGGACTGGGTGGTGGGCATAATGGAGCATTGGTGATTGATTTAGATGCTGATGAGAATGGTAAGGGAAAGTTGGGGGAGAGTGGTTTTGCATTCAATGGTGTTGCTGTGGTGGAATTGGATTCCGACTCGGATGAGGAGAGGTGTAGTGAGAATGTAGTTCAGAGTAGAAGTCCAAGAGGGAAGAGGAAGTTGAGTGATGCAATTGAAGGTGTTGCTGAAGATCTCAAGGATGAAGTGATGGCCAGTGAGAATGGTATAGATAATGGCAGAAGGAGATACAGCATTGAAGAAAAAGGGAAGGGGAAATTGATTGGAGAAGTGGTGTTAGTGAATGGTAATGATGAAGCGGAATTGGGTGTGAAACCAGAAGTTTTGAGCTCAGTGGAGAACGTGGCTGCCAGCCCTATTCGTAAAAGGGAGAATGCAGCATTGCCTGTCGAGAGGCAGGTAAACAACAGTAATACAAGAGAGAATGCAGCAAGTGGGAACCAGTACATGGAACGGTTTCGGGATATAGCCCGGCGAAATGCTTCTCGATTTGCTCATTTTGCTTCTGAAGAGGAAGAGGAGAATCAGTTGCCTCCTCAGGTTGAAGTGGCACAGGATATCGAAGATTGGCCGGGTCCCTTTTCTACGGCCATGAAAATTATTAAAGATCGAGCAGCAAAAAATGCCCAACTGCCCTCTAAAGACCAGACCAAACCACCATTCGTTGAATGGGTTCCTAAAAGTTTTCAGGATCGTCCCCTCTCAAAGAATTTGATCCCCTCACTGCAAGATCTGTGTTTGTCCTTTCTTGCTAAGAATGCTGATGCAATTGTTTCACTTGAGCATGTGGCAGATGCTTTGAGACACCGGCTTTGTCAGATGCTCTGTGATTCTCGAAAAATGAACAGTCATTTCTTTGAGCTTCTTGTTCAAGGATTGCCAACAGAGGTTCGCTTAAGGGATTGCTCATGGATGACAGAGGAGCAGTTTACAAAATCCTTTCAGCAGTGGGATACCAGCAATTTAACAGTACGTTCTCTTATTTTGGTTGAGCTATAGTTTTGTATATACAATATTCATTTGTATATGGTGTGTGTGATATACACTGAACCTGATATACTCATTGTCTGCTGCATTGGATTATAGGTTGTGATTCAAGGGACAATCTTGCTATTTATGGTATTATGATATCATTTAACTGAAACTAAGCTTTTACCCTAAAAATTTAGAGTCTGCTTCTTTATAGTATTGATGCTTCTATTAATAGGGAGTGGAAAGAGACCAATCTAGGTTGTCATGATAACATCCAAATGCGGAGAAAGGATAAACTGAGTGAACAGAGTTTAGTTATATATATATATATATATATATTTTGGTGCTGATTTTATTGCCACGAAGATGTAAAGCAATTATTGGTGCTGAAAGTCTACTTCTTATGGTATTGATGCTTCTGTTAAATGGGAGCAGAGGGAGGGCAAAGAATGACTGGTAACGCCAGCCTGGTGGTAGTAGTATAAGGAAGAGAGATTCAGGCAGCTAGGCATCAGTTTTGAGTTTGAGATTCTTATTTTGTCATATTCACAGATAAATCTAGAGAAAGTTGAGCTCGTGAGAATTCTAATCACTTAAAGATTTCAATGTTAACCTGATAAACATAGCTTAGCAGCCTGCGTTTATGTTTTAAACAAGGAATAATTTCTCATTGGAAGCCATATCTGTTGCTTTATCAGTAACATGGAAGTTCTTCATTGAGTGTAAACTTGCAGTTTCTTGTCTAGTAATTTGAACAATTTTTATAAGCTGGATATTTATTCTTTGGTGAATCAGGTGCTACAACTTGACCAGTGTGGGCGCTGTGTGGCAGATTATATATTGCGTTCTACCTTGGCTCGGTCATCAAATTGCTTGCCTGCACTAACCACTTTATCCCTAAGTGGTGCATGCCGTCTTTCAGATGTTGGGCTTAGTGCACTTGTTTCTTCTGCGCCTGCACTAAGATCTCTAAATCTCAGCCAGTGCTCCCTTCTCACTTCCTCAAGTATCGGCACTTTGGCTGACTCATTAGGATCAGTTCTGAGGGAACTATATCTAAATGATTGCCAAGGAATTGATGCTCTGCTTATTCTTCCAGCATTAAAGAAGCTTGAACATTTGGAGGTTTTGTGGCTAGGAGGCCTTGAAAGTGTTTGCGATGATTTTATTAAGGAATTTGTTACTGCTCGTGGTCAGAGTTTGAAGGAGCTTGTTTTGACTGATTGTGGGTAAGTTTTTATTTTTATTTTTTTGACACATCCATATGTGCAACTTTTGGAATAAATATGTGTTTGCCATCTTTTAAGAGTTCCATTGATTTATTGTTGTTTTCTACTGAAGCTGGTTGGTTTTAATTTGGTGCAGAAAATTAACAGATTCTTCTGTGAAAGTCATAGCTGAAACCTGTACGGGGTTATGTGCACTTGATCTTGTTAACTTGTACAAATTGACAGATTTGACCTTAGGATATCTTGCAAATGGTTGCCGAGAAATTCAAACATTAAAGCTTTGTAGAAATGCATTCAGGTGCTTACCTTATCAAATATGTTAAGTTAGTATTCAGTTTCCTCGAAGCAAATATGATGCATTATTAATTTTATTTATGATGCAGTTTGTTTTTGCTACATTAGTGCAATGTTATTACAGACTTTCTGCTTAGACAGTGCATATTACTAATAAGAATTTAGTATGAGACTCAATGGAGTTTTTGTTAGTTGCACTGACCTTTGATGAGTTTTCTGGGTTAGATTGTTGACTGTCATTTAGTCGTTAATAGACATATATATATATATATATATTCTTATATTTCTGATGTGATTTTAGGTTAATTTTGATGCTCACTGCACACAGTTGGCATTCCTTTGAGTGATAAACTTACAGAACTATCTTTTTCCCTTGTGACAGTGATGAAGCTATTGCTGCTTTTCTGGAAACTTCTGGAGAGTGTTTAACAGAACTTTCACTCAATAATATCAAGAAGGCAAATCTTTGCTCTCTCTCTCTCTCTCTCTCTCTCTCTCTCTCTCTCACACACACACACACACGCGCGCGCGCGCACACACACACACACCTCTTATAAGAACAGGAATACACACATGTTCGCATGTGAATTAGTATGTGCACTCACACTGTCGAACATCTTTTTGTATGCAAAATTGCCAGAACCTAAGGCGGGGTTTGATTTTGAGAATCTGTTTGCCACTTGATTGGGCTGTAGCCCTTAGGTTGAATGGGCATGTGGGAGCCTGGTCTATGTAGCCATAAGTAGTTGTTCCCACATTATGAATATGGACCGAGTTTGTTTATTATTTCCAGGTTGGGTACAACACAGCCATATCACTTGCCAAACGTTCAAGGAAGTTGCATACTCTGGATCTATCTTGGTGCCGGAATTTGACAGATGAGGCCCTGGGTTTAATTGCAGACAGCTGCCTATCATTGAGGATACTGAAACTTTTTGGATGCACTCAGGTACATATGTTCAGTGTTTGTTGTGTCTTGGAACTCTGTAGCAGGTTTAATGAAATTTAATAGAACGTATTTAAGATAGTTATTTCCAAATCAGTTTATTAAGAATATATTTAAAAATGTCAAATGGTGCTCTTTGCAGTTAACAAATACTTTTCTGGATGGCCACTCAAATCCAGAGGTGAAAATCATTGGCTTGAAAGTTTCTCCAATATTAGAACATGTCAAGGTGTCCGATCCTCACGAAGGTCCATTGCGCTATTCATCCGTCTATTGAGTTTAATCCGAGTTTGGGTCATTGCCGCAATAGGCATCCTGTGGAAACTATATTGAGTTCAATCAGCTATGGTGATGCTCGACATATTTGTCATCTAGAAACAACCTTTTTGCCCTCTGGCTTATTTTGCCAATCCATTTACTTTTGTAAAGTGAATGCAGAATTTGGTCTGCATGTACTATCAAACATGAAGAGTAAAGTGGAAAGATCGATATTCTGGGTGGCGTGTCATCTCAGTCAAGTGGGAATTCTTTCTTCCTCGCACTTTCGGTGGATGGATGAATTATTTTCTTTTCCTTTCTATTTTTGTAAATTGGGAATGACGTGTGATATAATATATTAATAAATAAAATATGTGTTATAATATAAACCGACATAATATAGTATTAATGAATAAAATATGTGTTATAATATAAATGGACGAAAAGCAAGCCAAATGATCGTTAAAGCTCCTCAAGATTTGTATGAAATTGTTGATGCAAAGGAGAGGCGGTGAATGAGTCTGATTTGTCTCCACATTAGAAAGGGCCGACTAGAAGATGCAGACTTGCAATTCTTCGTAAAATTTTAAGCAATTTGATATTGTTCTAGATTATTAAGAACAATAGACCAACAATTTCACTTAAAAACTACACAAAAAGCTATGAAGAATAAAATTCATACAAGTACTGAAGAAATTTAATGACATCTGATTTCTATCAAAACCTCAAGGATGAAGAGCGCCAACCCAAACGGCCTACAGCGTGACGACGCGTGTCAATATTCGGTGAGGTGTCAGAAAACTATTAGTCCGTAGGACCACGTCAGCTATACTACAACAGTAATGAGCTGTCCGAGTAAAAGTTGAAAAAGCGTCAGTAGAAGAAGAAGAAGTAAAGCATCTGATTTCCTTCCTCAATATTTATTCAGTTCAGAGTTCAGACGAGTCATAAATATATATATGTGATTTTGCTGATTATTGGAGCAGAAAAGACATACACTCATAATCAATGGCACTAATCACAACTGGTGGAAGCCCATCATCTTCTGCAACTGATGATATTGAACAATGTAAGTAGCTCATAACCCATGTTTAGGTTTTGCTTTTTATTTTGATTTTGATTGATTTTTCTTTTTATCAAATGTTAATCAAATCATACTTGATAGATATTATTGTTTTCTGGGTTTATAGCGTTTTTAAGTGAACTCTATAAACGGTTAATGCAAATTTTTATTTATTGTGGAAGTGAACTTGAATAACTACCAAGAACTGTACCGTGCTGCACTCAAAGGCAATTGGAAAGAGGCTAAGGGTTTTTTGGACAGAAATCCTGATGCTGTCAAAGCTAGGATCTCAAGTTTAAAAATGACTGCACTTCATGTTGCTGCTTGTGAAGGGCACTCTGAATTTGTGGAGAATATAGTGGCACTTATGCCTGCAGGTGAACTGGCACAACTGGATGACCTTGGCTATACTGCCCTCCACTATGCTGCCATAGGTGGAAGCCTGAGGTCTGCTAAGGCATTGTTGGCTGCGAATTCCACTTTAACGCAAGTTGTTGATAGCGAAGGAAGAACACCTCTCCTCCTGGCTGCCAGTTTGGGTTCTGAGAGTAAAGAGTTGGTGTGGTACTTGTTGTTGGTAACTACAGATGAGAAACCTGGTCAACCCTTCACTGGTCCAAGGGCTGCTTACCTTATCAATGTGTTTATTGCCTCAGGTCTACATGGTAAAGGCCTCTCTTGTGCACACTGTGTGGATCACATTGGTCTTTTGTCGCTTACCCCGTTATTATTATTTCACTGATTTGCTTTAAATGTTTCTGCAACAGAAATTTCACTGTATCTACTTGAGAAACACCCTCACTTGGCAACTGCTATTGATCATCAAGATAATAATTGTACTCCTTTATTTATTTTGGCAAGGAACCAGTCAAACTTCCTTAGTGGCAGCAGGCTTGGCTTTTGGGAAACCCGCATTTACCAATGTTATAACTTCTCTCTCATTTTTTGAATTTTACATTTCCCTGTACTTTTTCTGTCCCGTTATGTTTTTCCTACTATTTTTTAAAAAGTTGCCTATCATTTTCCATTTTGGTTGCAGTTCTACCTGTTGAAGTGAACTATAGACCACCGCGTTCAGTGAGGGCCTATGTCGGGGGACATGAAAGTGCCCAAGACGAACTGAGAATGCCAACATCAGCACAGAATAAAGGTCAGGGTATGCAAATTCTGTATCAATATGGCTCAAGTATTGTCAGCTTTTCATCGTATGTGAAGATTATGAGCTGAATTTTTGGATTCCTTATTCTTATTTTGGAATTTTTATTGGCCGAATTTAAGGTCTATGTTATGAGCTCTGTAGCGTTAATGGTTCTTGCTGCTGCTTGCAATAAGATCATTTTTGTGAACTACTTTCTAGGCTGTAGTTGTACTGTCTATTGAATAAAAAGCATCAAACCTTGTCTATTTTTAAAACTGAATGCTAAAGAAAATTGATTTTCCAAATCACCTTCATAGTTTTTTTGATCGATTAGAGGTGAAACTGGCTGTGTTTCTCCAAAAGGAATAGTCAGCTATCAATTTTCAGTAATTGACACTTGAATGATTTGGTTCTCTGTTGCAGTTCTTCATGGGTTAAGAAGACTGCTTTGTGGAGCTATTAAACCAATAGGTCTGGATTGGAACCTTACCTACCATATTTAATACTGCTAGAAGTTCTCCACTCACATCTCTTACATTTTTAACTTGCAGCATCAGCTCGTTTCAGGCAACTCCAAGATGCAAAACTTAGACATCATTGTGCAGTTGAACTAGTACAACAAATTTGCAAACAAATTTCAAAGAAGAATGTTTCTGAGCGTTTGGACTATCTTTTGAAATTAGAAATCCTCAACACGGCCACCGTTAATGGGACAACTGAAATTTTAAGGATACTCCTAAATTTTTTTCCTGATTTAATATGGGTTCGCTTCAGCAACCACAGATTTTTAGTACTCACTTATGCTATTGAACATCGTCATGAAAATCTTTTCCGTATGGTGTGTGATAAGACTGCACGAAATAAATTAATGGCTTCTGCAGTACTTGAACCGAGGGAGACCATCTTGCATCTGGCAGCAAAGTTGCCTCCTCTTTCCCAACTATCATCTATATCTGGTGCAGCTCTACAAATGCAGAGAGAGTTGCAGTGGTTCAAGGTGTTTGTCCAGAAAGTTTGTCAGTTGGTATTACAAACACACATATTTGACATTGTTAATTTTTTTATTTTGTATGTTTAGGTGGTGGAGAACCTAGTTCACCCTTATTATAAGGAGTATCCAAACACAAATCTCGAAACTGCAAGGGAATTATTCACCAAGGAACATAAACAATTAGCTGAGAGTGGAGAGAAATGGCTAAAGGATACTTCAAATTCTTGCATGCTCGTTGCAACTCTCGTTGCCACAGTTGTGTTTGCTGCTGCTTTTACAGCACCTGGAGGTAACAACGACGATGGAGATCCAAATTTCTTAGATAAGAAGACAATCATGTTCATGGTGTTTGCTGTTTCAGATGCAATATCTCTATTTGCTTCTTTAACTTCCCTCTTGATGTTTTTATCAATCCTAACTGCACGTTATGCCGAAGAAGATTTCCTCGAGTCATTACCAAAGAAGTTGATAATAGGTTTAGCTTCTCTCTTCATTGCTATAGCCACCATGATGGTAGCCTTTGGTGCAACTTTTACAATTGTGCTCAGCAAGAAATTCAATTGGGTTTATATCCCGATCACCTTGCTGGCCTCTTTCCCGGTGACTCTTTTCGCGTTGCTGCAGCTTCCCTTGTTTATCCAAATGGTCCGATCAACATTTGGACGGAGCATCTTTAGACCTCAAAACATTTGGTAATTCGACGAACCTATGGAAAGAAGGTGTTTGCAATTCTGTTTCATTTTGGCTCTTTTTTATATATGCTGAATACTGATCAGTGATGAAGGCAGAATCTGCATTAGATTGTCTGGAGTTTTTGGAATATAGATAAACACCTATAGCATGCACCTATGCTGTAAATAAACTACAGGACCTTCGTAATATAAATTTGGCATCTATCTATTAAGCATACCTTTTGAGTCACTGTGGGGACATATTTGAGTTAGAAGTTCATGTCATCTATAAACATACCTTTCGAAATGTGAATGCAGTGGGTTGTTTTCTTCTACCTGTAGGTACACTTCTTTCTTCCTTGCACTTTCAGGGGAACCTCCAAAATAAAATAACTTACCAGTCGCCCATTTTCTTTGCGGGAAGAAGACACGAAGAAGGAAGCATCCTCCTTTTTTTTTTAATAATTGCATCCTCCTTTCTTCAAATAGCACAAGATCAAGAATTGTGTTCTTGATTTTTGCTAATTATTTTACCAAACAGACGCATATACTTAATCATCAATGGCCCTCCCAACCGGTGAAATCACACTGGATATGGAGCCAAGTGTTGGCTCCTTGCAACCAACCATCATTACTCACAGTAAAGCACGCACCAATCATTATACAACAAGTGGCGGAAGCCCATCTTCTTCAACAGAGCCTATCCCAATACAGCATAGCAATCCTGGTCAGAAATGTAAGCAGCTGATTACCCATGTTTTAATTTTTCTTGTATCACATGATAGATAATTCATATGCTTCATAGATGACTTTATTTTTTGGGGGGTTTCAATTTTAAGTGAACTATATAAATGATTGATGCGAATATAGTGGAAGTGAACTTGGATGACTACCTACCACTGTACCGTGCCGCATCCAGAGGCAATTGGGAAGAGGCTAGAAAGTTTCTGGACACACATCCTAATTCTGAGAGAGCTAGGATCTCAAATTCATCAATGACTGCATTGCATGTTGCTGCTTGTGAAGGGCACTCAGAGTTTGTGGAGAAGCTAGTGAAACGTGTGCCTGCAGATGTGCTTGACATGCTTGATGGCATAGGCTACACAGCCCTCCACTATGCTGCTATAGGTGGAAGCCTGAGGTCTGCTAAGGCATTGTTGGGGAAAAACCCCAAGTTGACACAATGTTTAGATAGCGCGGGAAGAACTCCGCTACTCCTAGCCGCCACTTTTGCTTCTGAGAATAAGGAGCTGGTGTGGTACTTGTTGTTGGTAACTAAACATGAGAAACCTGGTCTTCCCTCAACTGGTCCTTTGGCTGCTAACCTTGTCAATGTGCTTATTGCTTCAGGTTTCCCTGGTATTTAGCCTCTCGTGCACAAAATGTGGATAACTTTAATTTCTATTATTATTTAACTGATTTGCTTTAAAATTTCGTGCAACAGAAATTTCACTGTATCTAGTTAAGGAATATCCTAACTTGGCCACTGAAACTGATCAAGAAGATTGTACTCCTTTAGATGTTTTGGCAAGGAACAAGTCAAACGTCCTTAGTGGCAGCAGGCTTGGATCTTGGGAGAGCTGCATTTACCCATGTTACACCTCCTCTCTCATTTTTAGAATTTTACATGTTCCCTCTCTCTTCTATGCCTTTTTGTTTTTCCTACTGGTTTCTGAAATCTTGTGTATCACTTTCCATTTTGGTTTCAGTTCTCCCTGTTGAAGTTGACCGTGGGCCACCACACTCAGTGAGAGCCTCTGTGGCTCCCCATGAAAGCGTCCAAAGTGATCCTTCAGAACAGTATAGAGGTCAGGGTTTGGAATTGTTGCCAAGTATTTTCAGGTTTTTATCATATTTGGAAAAGAATTAGTTTCTATTGGAGGCCCATCTCTATAGCCGTGAATAACATGCAAGTTTCTGTCTTCTGTTAGTTGGGTTTTGTTTTAGTCAACCTGTTAGTTGGGTTTAAGAAGAGCAAAACAGGGTTGCAGTGAAAGTTATAATCAGGTGATTTTGAAGTAAAAGGTCAGATTAATTTTATATATGGTGCTTCCAAAAATAATTCATATTTTATATTATTTTTGGAATCACGTCTAGATTATGAAACTCTGCAATGCAAAGGCTTGTGCTTGCTATAAGATAGTTTTGTGAGCTACTTTCTACATGTGTTCCAACAGTTACATCACAAAGTAGTTTTTCTCATAGCTAAAGATTTGAATAGGAAAAAGAAGCCAAAGGAGTGTACCATGCAGCTAAATGTTGTTGTACCAAAATGATGTTCTACTTGTACTGTCTATTTAATTAAAAATATCAAACCACCTGTACAGTTAGTTTTGATCAATTAGAGGCGAAACTGGCTATATTGCAACAATTGACACTTTCTTGAATGATTTCGTTCTCTGTTGCAGTTCATTGGTTAAGACAAATGCTTTTTGGAGCTATTGAACGAATGGGTCTGGATTCGAATCTTACCCTTCCGTATTTGATATTGCTCGATGCTTTCCACTCATGTCCCTTACATTTTTAACGTGCAGCACCAGCCGTTTTCATGCGACTCCATGATGCAAAGCTCAGACATCATTGTGCAGTTGAACTACTGAGACAAATTTGCTTACAACTTTCACAGGAGCAAATTAAGTCAGATATCCTCAAGATAGCTGCCATTAACGGGATAGTTGAATTTATAAGGACACTAGTAGAATTTTTTCCTGATCTAATATGGTTTATCCTCAGCACAGACCGATATTTATTGCTCCCTGTTGCTATTGAATTTCGGCATGAAAATCTTTTCCGTATTGTCTGTGGTAAGACTGCACGAAGTAAATTAATTGCTTCTACACTACTTGAATCTGAATCCGGGGAAACCATCTTGCATCTGGCAGCAAAGTTGGCTCCTCTTCCCCAACTCTCATCTGTATCTTGTACAGCTCTACAAATGCAGAGAGAGTTGCAGTGGTTCAAGGTATTTATCTACAAAACTCATCAATTGTTAGTACACGTACACATATTTGACATTATTAATTCTCTTATTTTGGGTATTTAGGTGGTGGAGAAACTAGTTCACCCTTATTATAAGGACAATCTGAACGAAAAAGGTGAAACTGCAAGGGAATTATTCACCAAGGAACACAAAGAATTAGCCGAGCGTGGAGAAAAATGGCTGAAGGATACTTCAAATTCTTGCATGCTCGTTGCAACTTTCATTGCCACGGTTGTTTTTGCTGCTGCTTTTACAGTACCTGGAGGTAACGACAACGATGGAGCTCCAAATTTGTTATGGAAGAACTCAAGCACATTCATGGTGTTTGTTGTTTCAGATGCAATAGCTCTATTTGCTTCTTTAACTTCCCTGTTGATGTTTTTATCAGTACTAACTGCACGTTATGCGGAAGAAGATTTCCTTCAGTCATTACCAAAGAGATTTGATAATAGGCTTGGCTTCTCTCTTTTTGGCTATAGCCTCCATGATGGTAGCCTTTGGTGCAACTATTGAGCTTGTTCTCAATAACAGATTCAATTGGGTTTCTATCACAATCACATCGCTGGCCACTTGCCTGGTGACTCTCTTTGCCATGCTGCAGCTTCCCTTGTTTATCCAAATGTTCCGGTCAACATTTGGACAAAGCATCTTTCGCCCTGAAAACATTGGTAATTCGATGGATCTATGCAAAAAAGATGCTTGAGCTTGTGTTTGGCTGTGTTTGTTACAATCGGATCAGTGATGAAAGGCGGATTCTGCATTTAGTTGTGCACCAACGTTCTAAATGAAACTATCAGACCAAAAAAAAAAGTGGTGATTTCCCCACCCCAATTTTATCCACTTATACTCCATTTTATAACTAAAAAAAGAGTGCAAGTGGATAAAATTGGAATGGGGAAATCATTATCCCAAAAAAAAAAAAAAACGTTGCAAATATAACTAGAGGATACGTATTTGTGGCACATGTTATTTGTGCTTTAGTCTGGCATTCTGTTACATGCACAACATATTTGACTTATGAAATTCTTTTCATCTAGAAACATTACCTTTTAACCTGCTAATGTATGCAGCCAATGCATCTCCTTACTGTAAAGTGAATGTAGTGTTTTTTCCTGCATCTATATATTCAAACATGAAACTTCACTACTGAAAACATCGATATTCTGAAAAGGGAGAGCTCATAAGTTCACAACAGGCAATAATCACTTTATTTGTTTTTCCCTTTAAATTTTAATTATCAAATGATGTGGTAGATGACAAGAGTTAGTTTGAAGAAAAAATGATGCACACCACATCAAATTTGAGTGTTGGTTGTATTGTTGAATTGAAAGCGAGAGCCACTGATTGCATGGTTCCTCTGTTTGGCCATCTTATGTTTTTGTGGGACATACCCTGTTGATTTGCTTCCCTCATTCACCTACTCAACACATACACAACAATAATGGCAAAAGATAAAGAGAGAATAATTTTACTTTGCGTACGTTTTTGAGAAGAAAGCAGTTCATCCCAAATTTTTAGAACAGCTGGCTTGCCATGTTTGTTGATTGCAAGGAGAGATTATTTAGTTGCCTATTTTTTTTAGCAATTTAGTAGGAAAGCGACGCTGCATGTTATGTTGCTATTAAATAAGGTAAGTGGCAGTTCTTATTGAAGCTTAAGAAGCTTGTGGAACTTATGTCTGCAGAAGCACTAGCAGCAAGAAACCCTGCTTTGCCACAAACAACGGCCTTGCATTTCGTTGCGGTCTCTGGTGACGACAGCATAGAGGCTGCTAGGGCTTTGGTGACCAGAAACCCTGCTTTGCCACAAATAACTGATTCCATTGGAGCTACTCCACACTATTGGGCTTGTTTGGTGGCTCCTGAAACATCTTAGGAGATGAGGTGGTACCTTGTTCTAGCAATCACAGACGACTTCCCAAGCTGTCCCTTTACTGGTCCTCTGGCTGGTACACTCATTTGTAGCCTATCCATTCAAGGTTTCTTTGGTAAGAGATTAATCATACGGCTGCATGTTTGATTAGTTGACTTTTGCTTAAAAAGCCTTGGGAATCCGCTGGAAAATCTTGGAAATAATTGTTATCAATTTCTCGTGTAGGAGATGCATCTCTATAAATAATAAAAATTTAAAGATTAATGCTGTCTTCTTGTGCTTGAAATTATGTCATAAATTTTCCCACTTTTGGAAAGAGCTACTCTTTGGGATCTTCTAACTGGATTTGGAACAAACAATGTGATGTACCAGTAAAGTTGCCTCCTTTAAAAAAAATATTCGCAATTACAATCAGCGTTAATCAGTTAAAGAAAGTGAGAATTGGACTGCATAATATTTTTCATTTCACCATATTTTGGTTGAACAAGGAGTGACAAGTACACTCTATACCAAAAACCTTTGCAGGGTCGTCTCTTTGACTTCATGACTTTGTACAGTAAGTGAGATTTTTGGATTTTGACCTAACTCATGTCACATGTAGACACAAGGATTCTATAGTAATTGTTTAATTCCAGGAACAAAAGAATCATGAATGAGTGTGTGTGAGTAAGCTGCTTTCAGGTCTTGAAACGAAGCAAATAAGTTTGCTCTTCTTCTAATTGAGAGGTCGCCTTTTCAACCATCTGAAAAGAATGTAAAGCTGTGCATCAGTCCTTGTTCAAATTAAAAACTTGAAAATAAAGCTAGGTGAGTACAATCTACAAATGCACAACCGTGATAGTAATACCTCAAAGCCCATCTTTCGGTACAGTTCCTGTGCTGGTTTGTTCTTTCTATGCACATGCACATAAACCTGTTCTGCACCTGTTACATTGAAAACCAATAGAATAAGAAGAGGAATTCATGTGCCCTTATTCAACTGCGCCATATCAGACATTTCTATAACCCCAGAGAACAATTTATGCTTCATTTTAATCTTACCCTCTAACAATGCTAATCTAATAGCAAAATGCATCATACTGCTCGCAATACCCTGGCAACGTGCTGCTTTGGAGACGCATAAGTTTGAAATATAACCATATCTATTTGACTGCGTTCTGTTGATGCTGCAAAAGGGAGGAGCCTTTTCCCGCTCCTGTAATAGAAATTAATTATGTGGCCAACTTAGTTAAGCCATTAAATTGGTCAGACTAATAGATACAAACGCAGTAGATATTTAGTTTTTAAACAAAATGCTTTTACCCCTGGAAAGGTCTCTCCATCCAACAAGTACCGGATGCTCAAATCAAGTGTTCCAACTACACTTTTCACAACAGTGTATTTCATATTCTTTGATTCCTTCCTCACCTGACACATTCAAGAGCAAACACATTCAGCCATCAATTGTATATTTTTATTGATTGGGTGCCTTAACTAAATATAGTGTATATCCTAATGCAAAGAGGGTTCTCAGAATAGAAGCTCAAACTAATAGGACCAGAAATGCGCTCATTGCAAATATGGCATACCGTGATAATGCATGAGCATTTCTGCCCATATTCCCCTTTTCTTCGTCTTTTTATAGCATTAAATTCCTAGAAAATAAAAGGATACAATTCAGAATTTTATTTGAGACATATACTCCATGTACACATGTCAAACTCAAAGTGAACGAGTCATTCCTACCTGATCTGCAAATTTCCTTTTGTAGCTGTCAGCAAATCTGTGTTAATCAAAGTGTAGCAAGAATCAGCAGTGTCCAATCCTCCATTTGACTGATAAATACACTTACTGGAGACTTGGAGACACTAAAGACTGCACACGTGCAGAGGGAGACCCACCATTGGTAGGATCCAGCCATGGGGTATTCTCTAGAAATCTTGATTGATTCAGAACTATATGTTCTGAACTATTCCTTATTCCCTTGTTTTATCTATTAGCTTGATTTGCCAGCTTTTGTTTAAAATGGCAATTCCTCTGCATGCACGCTTTATATGATGACTTCAGATGGTATAGACCATCTAGTGGGCTTGCCTATGACAGGAACCTTATGTTCCTCATGTAGTTAGAGTAGTCTGATTAACAAAGACCAAAGAGACAGAGACAGAGAGAGAAGAAAATCTGAAAGTTATAAAAGAGCAAAAGTACACACCGGTCATTTGCCCGATCCTCCCAGTGACTTTCTGCACGTAACCATGCTGCTGTCTGCCACAAATCCAAAAGCATGCAACCACAAGATATTATTCATGGGACACAAATAGCATACACATCGAAAACTTCATGGTTAAGATGTCATCAACTAGAAAGTTTACTTACCCACAATTCTTCATCAAGGATGGCCTCTCGTGCAATAAATCGTCCAAATTCAAGCTTTTTCTCTTGAACTAAATCTTGATCTGATGGTTGCAGCCGGTCAAATTGTAGATCAGGCTCCCCTGATGGTTCCAACTTAGGAATAAATGGTGTTGGATGCTTTACTGACAGTTCTTCCATCTTCCTCGTTTGGGAAGACTTTGCTTCCATTTTCCTGTTCATTTGGTAAAGAAAAAATAATCATGGGAGATATGTAACAAATATAAGGGGTGGCCGTTTCTTGAACAAGAACTTTAATTGGCTTGATCAAATTCAAACTAAAGAATTTCCAAACAGGAACTGAGAATGCAACCGAGTACAAGGAGGAAAAACACACTTCCAGCATACAGGTCAATAAGAATACAACTGAATGCAAATGAAGAAACCCAAGAGCACAATTGAATGCAAATGGAAACCAAATATCAATAGAAATATAAAATTATAACTCACACGAATGGAACGGGATCAATCTTGTGAAACTTTTGATGACTTCTAATTCTGACATGGGAATATCTCAACAGCATAGGCTTGTGAATTGAAATCGTCAACATCAAGGCAGTTCCTCCTCCAGACTTGACTTTGACAGAGGAAGAATTGTTGAGCTATGTTATATCACAAAGATGGTGAAAATAATTCTCAGCATGTGAAACACTTGTCTGGTCCCTGCTGGAAAAATAGCTGTCTATTAGAACAAAAGCAAAGTAATTTCAGCAAAATCTGCGGATATAATAGCAGTTATAACTACTAGATGTCAAGTGGGAGGTTATGAATAGTGGATAAGACAAGATGATAGCATGTAGGCTTGAGTTGATTTATTTATTCATGAAAAAGAACAAAAAATTATTAAAAAGTAGCTAACATTTATAAATTTGTATAAAAACAATTCTTGTGATTTCCTGGTAGGTAGTTCTTACCACATCAGATGGGACCCAAAATCTGGAGGCCCATGATGGTGAGGTGGCAAGATAGTGGCTGGATTCTAGCCTCCACCACTGAAGGGGGACCCAAACTCAAAAGTTCTTCTTCCTATCCAAAATCCAAATCATTTGTGTGTCTATCTTGACCATCTGGTGAAGACAACAAGTGGGTATGCAGCAAACACACAGGTTTGTGTAGAAAACCAGGGGCAGCAGCCAACTCTTCTCCTTACTACTCTTTCTTTTCTTCTTCTTTTTCTTTTTCTTTTTCATTTCCCTTTTTTCCTATTAATACTAATTATTCTTAAAATACAGAAAAACAAAACTGTAAATCAAAATCTTGCCCAAAGATTTTTGCGCTTAATGCGTGGCCTTGAATAATTATTGAGGACCAGTCACACATATATCCAAAAAATTTACCAAATGCGGGGACTTGTAGCCCCACACCCTCTTGCTCCTCTGACCCAAAAAAAAAAAAGCTTCTCTCCTCTTCTCGTTTGCCTTCTTTTTACCCAAAAAAACACTACCAAATGATCAATCCCCTCCTCCTCCTTTACCTCTTTTACACTAAAATAAAATTCAAGATTTACCAAAGAATTTATGGATCGAATCTTATCCTATTATACTTTTCGCAATTTGCGGTGCACTAATTAGAATTTAGAAACTTTTGTTAGACATGGCCGCATGTAAGCCGCACATGCAGGATATTTTCTTGGAATATAAAGAAAAAGATTAATATTAACCTCTCAATAATTATGACCATGTCACCAATAATCAATTATCCATAATGTAAGAAAATAAAAATGAACATTCATTTCTAGAATTTCTGCAGGGCAAAGAAAAAAGCCAACAGTCACCGTTATCTACTGAGTCAACTCGGCCGAGATATCTCACCCATTTCTTCACAGTCGAGTTAACACCAGAGTCTTGGCACCCAAATCAACAAAGATTGTGGCTTTGTGCCTTTAAAACACTAAATTTACCAGGAAATTTCAAATTAAACAAGGAAAAGACTGCTTACCCAATTCTGTGATGAAAAGACGAAGCTCGCCGATGAACTTGAACCGAAATTATAAGCAAGGCGTGGGCTTTAGCTCTCACCGGCGATGAATATGAGTTTGAATCCTTGTTAGCTTCTGTGGTTTGATATTTTTTTGGGTTGCAGAGCTCGGAGGCTATGGCGGCGCTGGTAATGTTAATGGCGTGTTTGGATTTTTTTTTTGGGCGTGAAGAGGTCGGCGACGGCTTTCTTTGGAAGGCGCGGTCAGAGAAGCCCAAATTTATAAAAAGACGCTCCACCCGCTATACGATTTTTCTTTTATAATTTTTTTTAAAAAAAAAATCATAGAAGAATGGCTCTCTGTCCATCCGATCGTCCAATGTCATTTTGACCCGTTCGATCATATTAAAAGTAGTTGCTCCGGGTAGTTGGTTTGTTTATATTTTTCCTTTATTTGCGCGGTTTGGCCTTTTATTTTTCCTTTTTCTTTTGTAACACTGCTTTTGACCTTTTGTTTTTGTTGGGGTAATGTTATAAAATCTTTGTTTATAGAAGTCATAAGACCTAGCTCTTTTCTTTACTAATTTTTTTTTCTTCGATATCCATGAAATCAATCTTGTGAAGAGTTAAATAAAAAGTTGTAGGAGAGTGTGGTATAAATGTGAGCATAGGGTGAAGTGTAATGAGACGATCTAATAATTTTACGAGATTTTATCTATTTGTGTGATGTTTGAATGATTGTATGTGTTTTGAAAATTCCTTTTAAGACCTTATATTCGATGAAAGAGTGATTCCTTAGAATTTTCTTCTTTATTTAAAAAACAGTTGAAATCCGGTCAATACATATTTAGAAGCCCCCGAAAACTAGAAAAATGGATTAGTATTAGTAGGTATTGAATTAGACATCGAAAGAAAAGAAAATGATTTGTGCTCCAAAGTAAGAATGTTAACTAGTTCTCTTTTTACATTTTCCATTATGGGAAATGAATTATATGCTTGTCTAATTTTTACTTGACTTTCAATCCGAATCATAAAATCATAAATTGAAAAGTTCTCCTTTCATGGTTTACTTGACTGAAAATGTTCTTTTTTATTTTTCTTTTCACATTTACCCTTTTTCTCTCCTTTAAATGGCAAATTGTAGAAAAAAAATTTCTCTCATTTAGGAGAGAATTTGATTGGCGGAAAAAAAAAAAAGAGAGGAAAAACGTGGACTAATTTAATCACATGGAGTTCTGAGTGATGGAGATGGAGATGGAGGTGTTTAATTTCCTCCGTAAACAAATGTTGAACACTTTAAAATACATTAAAATAACACTCACAAGTCATAAGCTTTACATCACATGCCCCCCAATGGCCTCAACCATAGTGAACAACCCCCCAAAAAAGAAAAGAGCACAAACAACACACGCTCCAACTTAGAAACTGCCCCTAGCCTTCAAACTCACCAGTCTTCACCCACTGTCCATACTTGTTCTTCATCTTCTCATCCAAATCCTTGGCCTTGACCTCAGCTATCTTTGCAGCATTTTCAATGGATTCTTCTTGAACTTTAGCGATTCGCTGGCTCCTCTTCTTTGTCATGGCCTCTCTCTCAGCTTCCAACCCCTCATACTCTCTCACCCAGCAGCTCTGCACCACACAGCTCAACACCAGTACTACCATCTGCATCATCAACATTGCCATCAGAACCCCACATTCCAACCTCACCAAAAGCTTGGCCTCTTTCGGGTCCCGGGGCGACTTGAGCATTGAAATGGTAGAACGCTCTTTGGTAAACAAGGCCAATATGCCAAGCAATTGTCCGATCAGTGAGGCAAGGAGAAGCGAAACATGGGTTATGAAGCAGAGGTGGGTGAGCTGAGAGTAGAAGCCTACAAAGGAGGAGAGAACTGAGATGCCAGAAATCATGAGGAATGCCATGCCCATTGAAGTTGGGGGCATCCTGAGGAGGATAATGGGAACTAGAGAAGTGACAGAGAGTATGAAAAGAGTGAAATTCAAACATGAGAGGAGAAGATTTGGGAAGGAACAAGAGCTCCTAAGATTGGATTTCGAGGCAGCCATTTCTGTGTTTCAGGTTTGAATTGCTTCAGAGAATCAAATGGGATTTGATTTGGAGGTGGAGGTGGAGGTGAGAAAGAAGATTTTGAATTTTTATAGTAGGTGGCAATGGCATTTGGCCGTTGAGTCTACAACGGCTAGGTTTGGATTGGAATGATGGCCCATTGTCTTCCTCGACTGACGTTATATTCCCTCCTCAGGGTTTCAAATTCTAAGGCCTACAGTAATCAACAGAAACTAATCCACCTGAGCCGTTTGATTGATCTATCAACAAATACTAATCCCACCCACCAGCTTCTCTCTCAACCCAAAAAGAAAAAAATAACCTCTTTTTTTTTATTAAAAATAATAATATCGATTAACTCAGCCACTAATATTTCAAAGTGAAATGAATACTTTGATGATGGGTTACAACAGCACTCTTTTTCAAAATACATGACTGGTGGCATATACGAGGGCCAAGAAGAGAATTTCAATTCATATCAAGGACTATGTAAAGGCATTGGTAGCACCCAGGAAGAAGATAGAGGACCAGGTGAACATTTACCAGATTAAAATTTAAATATCATTTACATGATGCAAAACAGCAAAAGTAGATCAACCATCATTTGGTGTGCAACTACACTCAGATCAAGGAAATAAACAGCATGTACAAGTACTTGTGTAAATCTGCAGCATCCTGATCCATCGACATAAGATTCCCTATCCCCTATTGATGGCATTGCGTGATAAAACATTAACAAGCCTGTTGCATGAAAGGTCCCTCCATTTTGAGGAAAGCTAACCACTTGAA